CTTCTGCTTACTAATCCAATGAAGGTAACAAATCTAGAAGAAAAAACTGATTTTCCTCCAACAATGTATTACAAAAGAGAGAGAAGCAATAAGCAGAAATAAATCAGTTGTAAAATAATATTTTCCCAACTTACCACCTGCAGATCCTGCCTTGCAAATCCATACAGAAATGCTCCCATGTGTTAAGCGAACATACAAATATGTATAACCTTAGCCGCAAATACAGCAGTCACATCTTTCCCTTTGAGCATCTAGTATATTTAAAACTGTTTGATTTCTTACTTAACTAAGTTCTATGCCTTTTCATTTACTGTCTTTTTCCATACAAAGGCTGTCTGACATAAATCCAAGCTAAAAGGTCCTCAATTCAAATGAGAAAACATTCCATAACAACTTTTACGTGTTTTTTTGGTTTTTTTTAATTTCAGACTTATGGCGTGAAAGCCTCGGCCACTAGAATAGGCAATACAGGCAAACTCGAATTAGCATTTTCAGTTTTGTAAAATATTGGTGAGATATTCCAGAGTGCTACTATAAAAAAATACTATTTCTGAAATATGAGATACTAATTCCGTGTAATTTAAAAATAAATAAATAAATAAATAAATAAATAATTTGAAAATAATTCCCTGGATAACAGAAAAATACACTCCTCCAGGAATGACGTCTTTATAGATCACCTACATGTTTTACTATCTCAATATAAGAAAGCAGGCCTTACTTCTTGTAAAAATGTGACTAAGTCAAGAAAAGAATGCAGCCTGGAGTACAGGAGTCAGTAAAACACTATTTTTAGAGTCCTTTAATAGCTACTTCTTTTATTGTTAAATACAAAGAAACACTCTCCACAAAACGCTGTGTATGCATTCAATTATTTTCTATTAAGTGGCAAATGCTGTAACTGATTTATTGCCTTGAGACAGAGAAAGATAAATGCTAGGGCAAGAGGCATAATTACTGGGCGCTAACATCACTTTTCAAGACAGAAAGATAATTTGTTAATAATTTTTTTAAGGTATATTATTTTCAATTAACAACAAATGTTCAAGTACTTAACTGTACAGAAGGACCACAGAAGCATGTAATGAAGATACATCAAAAGCCACCCCCACCAAAAGCAGCCTTTCTGGTGGAAAAAGGGACATTTCTATTCAGAAGTCATCTACACTACACTGATCAACTACATAAGTATCTCTGCAGTTGCAAAACACAATTAATTGGATGTCTAATAATTCCAGATGGAAAGCTCTTCTCTCAAGTATTTTTCTTTTAAGTATGAGGTGTTCTGTGATAAAAATCTAGAATTCTCACAATTCCTTTCCAATTAAACATTCTCATTAGAACAGTAGGAATAATGATGGAATTAAAATACCTAAACCTTTCTTCAGAGAAACTGAAGGCTGTGAAGGAATCCCAAGAGGATCATTTCAAATTTCCAGGTGTTAGGGCACTACAACTAGTTCCTTGAAGTATATTTAACACAAACATATGAATTACCTTGGTGGTTCAGTGATCAAAAACATGAAGGAGTTGATGATGAAAAGCAAAGGCACAAGTCCTTCACAGATGAGACATGAGACAAGTTAGCAAAGACTGAAGATGGGATCTTCTCCTAACACAGTGTGAAAGGCAGTGTAGGAAAGCACTACAGAAAATGGACTGAGAAGAATACAGAATGTGTAGCAGTCAATATATTAAGAATGGGACCTCATCTGAAATCCTCATCTGAAAGGAGTTATTGCTTAATAAGAAAAAATTAAAAAGTACCCACGTCTTGTTAACAACTTCAGGACTCAAGAGTCCCTGTCTTCTTTCCAGGAAAAGTGATTAACTCGTGTGCACTGGTTTTGCTTGGGATAGAATTAGTTTTCTTCCCAGCAGCAAGAATGGGGTTTGTGTTTTGGATTCGTATTAGAAACAGTGCTGATAACTCAGGGATGTTTTTGTTATTGCTGGGCAGGGCTTACACAGAACCAAGGTCTTTCCTGCTCTGCATCCCACCCCACCAGTGAGGAGGCTGCAGGTGCACAAGGAACTGAGAGGGGACACATCCAGGACAGCTGACCCCAAGTGACCATATGGATATTCATATGGCTTCATGCTCAGCACATACAGCTGGGGAAAGAAAAGAGCAAGGGGGGAGCATTTGGAATGATGGGCATTTGTCTTCCCAAGTCACTGTTACGTGTGATGGAGCCCTGCTGAACATGGCTGAACATCTGCCTGCCCACGGTGAATAATTTCCTTGCTTTGCTTGGTATGTGGCTTTTTCTTTCCTTATTAAACTCCCTTTATCTCAACCCATGAGTTTTCTCACTTCTACTCATCTGATTTTCTCCCCCATCCCACTATGGGGGCATTGAGTCTACAGAGCCACTCGCTCACTAATAAATTCCTTATCATGGAAGGCAAAAACCTTACCTGTAAGAGAAAGGAAATAAATCCTAATAAACAGGAGAGGATAAAGGTGCAGTGGCCTGTACACCAGCAAGCTTAGATCACTACATCACGAATTTCATGCATTTTGCCACTTAGATATTTTATAGGTAATAGTCAAATCAAGAAGAAGGTGAATAAACAACTACTAATTCAGTTTAGGTATTTTCGTTAAGTAGTTGAAGTTTGATAAAATAGGTCAGGGCCTTCGTTTCAAATACCCACTCTTCCAACTGACTTTCTCATTGCTAAAAATTTTCCTCTAAAAATGAATTAAAGACATCTCCTCTGCAGAAGGATATTTCATGTATGCCAGAAATAAAAACTCCATTATTAAAGAATCCATAGTCTTCAAAGGTAAGGTCAAAGAAGCAATCAAGAACCTGGTTGTAACACATTATGAAGAAGTTTCAAAAGGCACACAATAAAACAACTTGGTAACTCAAAAGCTCAATTTCACCAATACATTGTCCTATAGCTGGGAGAACAAATAGCAGGACTGACAAAATACAGAGTAGTAATTCTGTTAATGAAATTTGACATCTCCTATATAAATTTCAGCACAGCCTTTTAGTATTAAATTGTTCAAAAGCTGTCCCCATTACTTAAGTATTGAAGAGTTGTTAAAACTGCTGTCTTGAGTGAGACATCTGCTAAGACTGCAAGACTGACAGCACACATACTGTGATGCTCTTTGCATCCATGAAGCAGAACAGCACAAGTAATCCAATATGGAATTTGACATTTTTATGTCAAATTAAACAAACACTTTAAGTTTGACCATTAAGAACAGAATCAATTGCAATCATAGATCAGATATGCAGAATTATTTTATGGTTTAACAAAGGAAATTACACTTCTTTGCTCTCCTTAATTAAGATTTGGGTAGGGGGAGAGGAAGGTGAAAAGTACTGGGAATTACCATTATAACTTGTTGCAACTTATTTACAAAAAGAACATTAAAAATTTATGGAAATCAAAATAACCTAGACACACTTTTACTCTAACCACTTCCACTGTATGCACAGTACTGTTAATAAAATACAAACACTACCCAAAATTTAATTGCTGCTGACTGCTCTTACTGGAATTATTTGCAGTTTCACAACCTCTGCACACACAAAGTTTTCATACAGTACACCCAGTTTTGCCAGTATTAAATTGCTGGCACCACCTAGTGTTGTTCATGCCCTATTCCAATAGGCACTGAAAAGCAGAGAACCAGGCATAACACAGAGCTGTGCACTACTTCTGCTTGCTCCTTGGAAAAGCATCCCTCATCCACCTCACAGAACTGTGCACACCCAGAGCAGCAGTTTCACCAGCACTGACTGAAGAGCTCCCACGGCCTCTCACTTAGCCAAAAGAAGCCACCTTCCTTAACTCTTGTGGAGACAAAAAAGGGTGCCAGAAGTCTTCTGATAACTTACTCAGAACACACTTTGATTCCACTGATGAGGTAGTATTACTATCACTGTGACAGACCCTTTCAAGATCAGAGACGTTTCTCAGAAAAACTGTTTCTCCAATATGGACTGAGCCTAAGGAATAGCAGATGGCTCATCTCTCTTTTTCTGGGAAAAGAATATCTGGATAGCACTTCTATTTGATATCTAGGAAGCTTTTAACACAAAATTATTTTAGGCTGCATTTTATCTACCTTGATTGAAGCAACAGCTCAGCTTTAGTCAGGGTTGTGTCAGAACTGGAATGCAGACAGGGCTGATTCACCAATTTGTATGTAACAAAGTTTCACTACAGAACAAATTTTACAGTTCTTAAATGCTACAATGATTTGTACTCAGTTCACCAAAATACAAGCTGCATTAACATTCAGATCTTATGATAACTTGACTTAGTATCTGGAGACCAGAAGATACTATTTTTTTCTTACAAACACCAACTTGTAAATTTGTGTTTTGGTCTTCTAAAAGTCCTACTACTAAAGTTACCTACAGGTAAACAGATAACAGTAGTTTTGAATGCTTCCTAGTGGCTGAAGAGAATCAAAACTTTCTTCACACAATAATAACTACCAAAGTCTTTGTCACAGAAAAACTAATCTTGTGCTGACGTCCTCTAGCACCATCTTCTCACTGAATTCCTTCATCTGGAATTCACATTCTAGAGCCTGAAGAGTTTCCATCATTGTCCTCCAGGACCTGCTGATGCTACTGGACTTTGGCCTGACAGGTAGGTTTAATATCAGAGAGTAAAAGGGAAAACCTGGATCACCCTGCTGTCCCAGGAACCCCTTCAGAAACTTACTCTGCAGGTCCTTAAAACGTGTGGGACTTTGACTGTCAGGCTGTTTTCTTTCAGAACTCACTCCTAAGAGTCAGAAATCATCTTCAGATTCTGAGTCTCATTTTATTCAGGCACCCTGTTTTCTTGTGACAGCACTATTCTTTCATCTTATAGTGGTTTACAGTAAGCCAATTAATAACAATCTCTGCTTTGGCTTCAGTCATTATGCCTATGGGTTTTAAAGCTGTTCACTTTATAAACATTAAGATAAATAAATAAAAAATAGATAAACCCATTTAAATACAGTGCACACTTACCTGTAAGCATTAATATAATCCTTTCTGTGTTGTAGAAGAAAATCTTTCAGCTTTCCAATATGAGAAATCTAAATTAATAGAAATCATAATTAAATTTCAGATAACGATTTATTTTATGTTTTAAGTTTAGTATTCTTTACTTCCAACATGAATTCATAAATTTCTTAATATATCATTAAATAGAATAATAAAATTTACTCTTTTTTACTAGAATTTTCAGATTTTCCAAGCAATCAATACATAAAAATAATCTAAGAAAGATCTGTTGTATTGAAGTCCAGCTTGGAGAATAGCAGTAAAAATACACATCTTCTTCCCAAACGGTAACACAAAACATTATCTAAATTCTCAATCCAGAATTTAATGTACATTTTGGAAATAAATTCATTTTGGAAGACCACATAAGAAATTTTTCAATTCTTTGCTGACCAGGTATACACATTAAATTCAGCTATCAAAACTCGTATGGCAAGGTACTAACCCTCTCCCTTCTACTTTTCCCATAATACAGTGACCAGTTTGTGCCCAAACTAAAGTAGTATCTCTGCTGATAATCATTAGTAATCTTTGCCAGATCATACATCCCAATTAAATTTCCATTTCTAAATTTCCACCTCATTCTGGGTAACTTATACTATAAATCACTTTATTTTCTTTTTAAAGAAATATTTACAAAGATCTTTTGGAAAGCCAAAAAAAAAAAAAAAACTGAAACAACTTCTGCAAACTTCAGTCTGATTTAAAAGATTTGGTGTAGCATAAGACACTGCTTATTTTAGAGAATGGAGGAACTACAGAAGTGTATCTTCATTCACCAGAGAAATGAGAAGACATGATTAGTAAACAGAAAAGGGAAGAGAATTCTATACATTAGCAGTATATATTTTCCAACGCAACTTTTAAAACTATATGCTCAAAGAGTAATTAATAATTCAGTGTAGGCAAAGCATGCAAGGAATTTTACAAAACAAAATTTGGTTTTGTTTACAATAAACACAGTTTACTCCATGTATCTGAGAAAAAGTAACTGTTCAGAAACTGTTCAAGTCTTAAAATCCCATTTTCATGCAATTGATCTTTGCAATTAAACAAACAAACAAACAAAAACATAGAGAAAGAACATAGAATAGTTTGGATAAATAGAAGATTAATTCCCCCAATTATTTTTTTTTTCAAAAGCAGCTCTGTGAGAAGAAGTGCAAGGAAAAAACATACTTAGTAAGACCACAATAAATTGTACAATTTGAAACAATTGTAAGTATTTCCTTGTGCAAATAAATAAGCCTCCATTTCCATATTATTATTATTTGGTAGGTTTCAGTTTTACTCTAATTCATCATATTGAATATGGATTTTCCCAGTCTTCATGTTTAAAGTTTTCTTTAAAAAACCCAGGAAAATTCGTCCCACTCATAGCAAACTGAGTTCTGTCAGTACCTTCAGGAGTTTCCCAAAATGTGTTAGCACCACTACACACAGGGAGGGAAATACTGCAATTGCTACAAGACCGAGGCACAAAGGGTAAGCTAAACCATTCTACAGATGTTCCTTCTCATCGCCACTTATTATTTGTACAGTAATCTCCTTCTCAGCTCAGATTTGGTATGTCATCAAATTTGCTGAATAGATAAATGAAGCTTGACTATGAAAGCAAAACATCTAAAACAGTTATACAGTGTTCCAGTGGAACAATAATTAATATGCAGAAAGAAGTACTACAGAGGACAAAACAAATGTGAAATAAGAAACATTTCAAAACATTTACATTAATGCACAAGAAAACACTAAAGTAGAATATAGATAAGCAAAATTTTGTAAGCAATAAATCTTAATATTTCTGCAATAGCTACAATTTAGGAGTGATTAACAAGCAGAAAGAATCAGGATGACAAGCAAGAGCACTGTCTTACAGTAATTAATTCATCTAGTCACAAAGAGCATTCTATTTAGGCTAAAATTGTCATCATGTGTTTGAATTGCACTGACCCCACTTTGCCTCTCCTTCATTTGTAAAGCTATTTTCATGAATTTAGAATGACACCATTATGCCCATACTCACATCAGGCTCTTAGTTCCCAAGATTTGCATCAGAAGTGAGACTTCTTGTTTAAGTTTCCCTCAAATTCTAACAGCATCTTCTGCAATCCTGCACTGCAGATATTTCTTCTGCCTTTTGTTACCATGTACTACTGGCATAGCTTTGAACTCAATTTGTCATAACCACATGAACAAAATTAACTTTTGTTATTAAAAAGATGGTCTCACTAGTATTAAAGTGAGGAAATTTTCATTTTATTTTAAAAAATTGATTGGTGTTTTGTATGATGTTTGACTTTTTTGTAGACACAAAATATTCCTCATTATACAAACAGAAATCTTGACAGTATCTCCAGTGTCACCAACATGCAATTATTCTGGTGTTATCAGAGACCCACCATACACTCTTTACAAAGTTATCAAGCTTCAGCCTAAAGGGAATAAGGCTTCTCCCTATTACAACTGAGTGGTTTTATTAGAATCCTATTGCTCTTATTATTGTTAAATTATTGTCTAACTCCCGGTTTTACTGATTACCAACATCTGTACATCACTTCTTGCTTCAGAATGGTCCTTTCCCTTAAAAATTCTGCTTCCCTGCATGTGTGTTTGACTTTCATGTTAGTAATTCTATCTATCTATCTATCTATCTATCTATCTATCTATCTATCTATCTATCTATCTATCTATCTATCGTAGCCCAGAAAAATAACCCAAATCTTTTATTTCCTTCTCACAAAGCAGTTCTGAATTTGTGGAACCCACAGCTTTCCTCTGCATTTGTTCCAGTTTGTATGCATCCACTTCCAATGCAAATGACTAGAAAGGCACTTACTGGTATTGGTTGCCTTTTAACTATTTCTGCTGGAAACACCTTTTTTTGTACTATTTTTTCTAGATCCCAGCATGTATATTGCTTTTACGCCACAGGTCCATGGCTTTTTCCTTATTAATTTAGTCTAGAGACCATGACTAAACCATTTCTCATCTATCACATAATCACATGACAAATCCACACTTTTTGCTAGTTTTCTTTTTATTAAGATAGCTAAAGAATGTTTTAACTTTAAGAGGGTTTTAACACCATTAGCTACTCATTGTGAATTTGGCCAAATCTAACTTTATCTCTGTAAAAAAAGTCTTCCCTTCTGCACCAGTTTTCTTGGCCAGTCTATCTTTCTCATCCTGCTTTTCACTGCCTCTAGGGTAAGTTTTTGTATCTTCTCTAATTAATCTTTCAAGTAGATCTAGTAGAATTTTAAATCCCACTTGCATTTCAGCACACCCATTTTTCCACTCCATTTACCCATCCATCATAACTGCAATTTGCAATTTGCTCTACATGCCTGCTTTCAAAACATTTATACCACCAGTTCACACAGGTGTCAAAAGGATAGATGAGAGCAATTTGAAGCACAAACACATCTGAGTATTTGCCTCTTGTCATGGTTCTCACTCTTTGCATCTGAAAATTGACTTTTTCTGAAAGCCTGGAGCAGAGAAATAAGCCTTTCCTTCAACCCTGAAATAAAGAAATTATTTCCTTTCTTCCCCCTTACCCCCGCAGAGTTAGGAGGGCTTACAGAAAAGCCCTTTGTAGTTGTAGCACTCTTGCACTACACAACTAAACTTATCTTACAGGGAAGAACACTCCTGAGTTTCCAGGTAACTGTCATTTCTAAGGGAATCAGGGGAATAAAATACCTTTCCTCACAATATTGTGAGTTATATCATTACAGCAACAGCATCTTCTTGGGTTTCTGTTCACTACCAGAATATGGTGCCTTATGTTCCTTCTAACAATGAAGGTCACTCGGCAAACTCCAAGCTCTCCCTCTTCCCATTCCCACTGGCACTCCCTTCAGGGTCAATACCACGCCCCAAAACACTGAAATTACTTTTTTTTTTTTAATTACTCTTCTGGAAAGAACTGGTTTCTTTCATTTCAGCTTCACAAATACCTGTATCAGCATAATGGAAAGCCGGAGCTGAACAGCACCAGTAGGGAACTTCCTACAAGATGCATCTGCCATGAATAGATAAGGTATATTTAATTATAACCTAAAAAATTAATCATGATAACCACCTAAGCTCAGGTCCTGAATCTGGAGACTCCAGGTGTTATTTAAATACCCCCAAGTGTAGTTCTGATGATGGAAACCCAACTGATTCTCTACAGTGAAGCAGCACCAGTTTGCCACTATGTGGCAAACAAAAGCATCAACATCATGCAAGTGAAAAACACTACAAATTCACGAAAAAGCCTGAAACGTAACTTTTTTTAAGTTACTTTAGGTTCCAGTTTGCACTTGATCTTCACTGTAAACTATCTCTTTAATACATATATCTGTGTTTTATTGCCACTATAGATTTTTTAAACCACTCTTATTAAAATATAAAAGCAATTACTGCATCTAATGCAGGTCTGACACAAAAGGAAGCTGTGAATGGCTGCCATCTGCTACCACAGGTGGCATGCACAGCTCTATTTATACTAGGGGCCTGCACTAGAAATGGTAGATGCTCCTCTGCTTAGAGATTTTTCTAATGATTTCAGAGCAGGCTAAGTTGTTTAAAAAGATGAGAAACAGGAAACCATTGCCTCCAAAGCAGCATCTTGATGAGATGCCGAGACTTTAGAATGAAGATGCTGACTACACTTCCTTCAGTCTCTTGGCAATACATACAGCACTTCTTTCCACTCCCAACAAAGAATTGATCACTCATGAAACAGTAGGTTCCAATTTGCATGCATTTGACCCACTGCAAGAAGCAGCAGCATTGTTTACGATTAAAATGATTGGAGTAGGTTCCCGTGACATATTGTAGAGAGAATTCAACCATGCTGAATAGTCATTTTCATTGAACAAATATAGCATTTTATCAAATTTACTCTTCCATCAGAACAATGCACAACTATTTCCTACCATATAAAACTGACTGTTACACTTTGCGCTGTACTGCCACTCTGAATTTTTTAAAATGTTGTACTTTGTTAAAAGAATTACTTAAAACCAAAACATAACAGAAA